AATTGTAAGAGTCATAGACCATGCCGTATCTTTCAGGAATCCTGTTCGTTGGATGAGGCGAAATGCAGAGCGAGGGGTATAACTCTGGGTGTGATCGGGCGAGGTGAGATCAAAGGTAGGTGCAAATTGTTGGTTGCGCGCCTGCAGAGGAAATTAACACCCATTTACGCAGGATACTGGTTGAGGGGGGCAGGCTGTATCAGTGGGACTGCATCTCCTGCCGGTAGAGCTTATTGGATCAGGCTTTGCATAACGTATGCGGTGTCTGCTGCAATCTTTGCTCCTTGAAGAGCTCCTAGTCCCCCCACTAGGTGCTGTGGAATATATCAGTTTATAATGTCTAAAACGGATGAAACAAAATCCCGCGATAGTCATCCCAATTTTCCGAGAAAGTGAGAGGTTTGGTCCGGCGGTGGGCCCTCAGTTTCTTGTATGTGGCAAAGGGGGCATTCAGTCCGAAACTTAGAATCCTAACAAGAGTCTGGACTGGATTGGAGAAGGGCAGCAGTTAAAAACTCCAGATCCAGTGTGCGCATCTGAGCGATGCTCGAAAGCAGATGAAGTTGGCCTGTATAACCGCAGCACTGTAGGTAATGTTTGCTGGATCCATCTACGTCACACGCCGGATCGAACAGATGCAGCCACGTCGCAGAACTCAATGACTCCAAACAGTGGCGTCTAATGAAGTACTTTCATTGGGAAAAAATAGCTGTTGTGAAAATCAGAGTAGCACTCAGACATGGAGCACTGCTGGCAGATAAGCTGCACCAGTGTCCTGAGTGACAATAAGCCAAGTGCGACGGAAATTTGGTCAACATGCAAAACGGAGACTGAGATCGTCGATAACTTGCTAGCTGTCAGCGGCTTGTCGTAACCTAAACTGAGGCAGGGGAAACCCAGGGCTTCGGACCCGAGTTCAGGTGGACTCACGCGCCAAAGATCGTAGCCGAAAACATTTAAAACCTAGCCAGAGTACTGTTCATCTACGTGGCCAGATTGCAAGTTGCAATGCGAAAGTACCGTTTATGCATTCTCGCAGACAGTCACAGTGGCTAGTGATCAAAAATGCAAAGCCCGCGGTTCGCTCAGAGATGAGATCAGTAAACATCATTTCCACGCGGAATCGAAATAGACTAAAAGGTATTCGAGCAACAACAGCATCTCAGACCGTTTTTGGAACGCACTGGCAGTTGCAAATGCGGCTTTGGATTAAGCAGCGCACAACAAAAGAACATTTCATGCTGTTATACGGTCAGTAAAGACTCCTTCGACCAGATTCGACAAATCCAAAAGCCTAGTCACCCCGTTAAAAAAAACTGAAGCACAGCGCTCTCAAGGAGATTCAAATTTAGTGGTTCACTTGGAACTTTCGAAACGGCTTGTGCCAAGAATTGGGGATAAACCTAAAGCACAGTGTAAAAAACTGTTGGGGTATTCAGTGTTAGTACAGACGTTTTTGCAACAGGAAAGGAGGGATAGGTAGCTCGATAATAAAAAAATTAAATAAGACAAGTATGCAATGTATGAGATGCTGCCAACTCCAAGGTATGGAGAACACGCGAGGATAGTGGGGGAGTAACCGGTGAAAAAACAGCATATCGTACTAGTAGTATAAGATTGTGTGAAAAAGAGCTTAGTTGGTGTGAAAAACAGAAGCCCGGTAGAAAAATAAATAAGATGAGGAAAGGTAGCTTAGAACTCGAGCAGAAGCCAACTTCTCACAGATTGAACTCAAAATGTGGTTCCTGAGAACAGTGTCCGAGATCACTCATTGCCCTTATCTGCGAGAGGGAGGGGGGAGGAAACAGCAGCACGATCAGGAACAAATGCAGTTATCCTCCGGCGAAACGAAAAACCATGAACGCGCAGAGAAGAAGCAATGTTCAGAAAAATCAAGTATTCCCTGAGTAGATAGCGAAGTGAGCAGAGGACGACTGATATTGCTGAGACGGATGCAACCGCTTGCCCACAAGAGAATCCGCCTCCATCAGATGTAGTCTGTCATCATTATTATCATCTGACAGCAGCTGCATCGTGTCGGTGGTCGGATATAAAGGCTGATCCGTGTCTGGCAAGGAGTGTGGCCGTACCAGCACAATGAGACCATTTGTAGTTCCGTAGACGATGCCACCGTCAGGGCACCAGACGAGGCTGTTTAGAGAAACCTTGCTGGGGGCTAGGAGTAGAGATCGGTACCAGCTCTCAACAGAGGCGTTGGTAGAGGTTGCTGTGGACGGTAGAAGTCGTGGATGTGGAATAACGCTCAGATTGCGCAGAAAACGGCAGCGTTTCGGAGCACCTGAGGCCGCATGATCCTCAGGACTCGAGGTCCAGCTGATTTTAAATATGCGGGCTAGGGGAGAGAGTAAAATAGTGTGTTATTTAGACTACTCCAAGAAATAGACAAAAAGGTGCACAAAAACAGTCAGCCGGGATGTCAGATAGATTATAAAGATCCCCTAGGCCTCGTATCCAGTTATCAAATCGTACACATCCACAAAGCTCGCTTGTGCAGGGACGAGGTGTCCCTGCCACCCGACGCGTCCATGGGTAGCGATTCGCGGAAAGGCCACAAGTGAGGAATGATGGCGAAATAAGTGGGCTCTCGGATCTGGTAAATAATAAGTCGTGAATCATGGGATGGAATTACCTCCAAATACGCCTTAGAACCCCATTACCCATAAAAAAGTCGCAAGCCATGGCAGTGTTTGTGGTGAATATGTTCCACCACTAAATAAGACATAAACTGCCACCGTTCGGCACAGACCTGGAACCTTACATGAGTGCGCCGCAGTGGAATGAAGACACCCACCCACGAATCTAGGATTTACAGATGACCATCCCCCAGTAAGTCGCTTCATGCAAATGCTGTCCGGCGAGCCACGGTTAGACGATTTGGCAGGACTTTCCGGGGCTCAGTAGCGCAATTTGCCGTCTAGCAAAACAGCTTGACTAGGCCAGCCTGATGTGGACGTATGGAAGAATGTGAAACAATTGTGTTAAACGAACGTCTGCCTATTTGGTTTTTGTCTAGAGCATTGTAGGAGGTCCATTTGAAAAGGACAGAACAAAGTATAGGAAGGACAATGGATGACAGACAGTAAAGGAGACCAGGAAGAACAGCAACGATACGGCAAACTCATGAGACTTTACCTGAAACCTCAAAAGTGGCTTTTGGGAAGAGGGAATACGTATATGGGATTGGAACATTAATTAGCACAGAAAGTAGTCTCGAGTAGGCTAACAGCGCGTGGCTTTGTCGTATAGCGTTCCACTTAGATATTAGAGTTTGGATTATCCGAACGGCGGCTGGTGCATGGCCGGTTAACAACAGCCTTTAGGCACATAAGGGCATTCCAGTCTCCATTGGCTTCGTCGATATTCCGACATCGTTACCGGTTTCTATGCGACTGCTTGTATTGGCTCTAAAATGGAACTTCAAAGCAGAAAAATACGGCCATGCTCCGTGCTATAACCAGATCCACATTGATTATTTAGCGTACTTCCAGTTAAAAGGGGTCGGTCACACTCCGAAGAAGGTCGTTCCGAAGGCAGCACAGAGTGCACGCACTCAACTACGGGCCCTCGAAAGGATGCAGAAAAACGATTTCTTCTATGCCATTTACACGAAATGACTTCTTCCCCAGAATTTAACAAATCCAAAATGAAAATATTTTGGCTCCAAAAGGTGTTCAGTCACGATGACAGTTGAGATGCTTGCACGATGTTGGTACTCTTATAGATGGTGTTTAAAAGGTACACAACTTATACGAGCCATAGAGATAATCGGGAAAAAACTATGCACTACTTAAGTCATATTTTTTGCGAATACAGTTCAAAAAGGTGACTGGAAGGGTACTCGACCAAAGCAGCGTCCTACGTTGAATGACTTTGGATTATATTCTGTGCTACTCAGAATTGCAACCCCACTCAAGTAATCTTTTCCAGTTGAAGGACAAATCAAATAGTAAACAGTCTTAATTTTCTGTGCATATGATAGCCAAAAAATTCGATCTACTCGTACACAGGGAAGGTCACTTAGCAGGCGACGAAGCTTTTGTATATCATTAAGTAGACTGGTCGGACATTGCAGACTACAAGTCTTCTCAAAATCGGTCCGGCTTGGGGAAACTATACCTGATATGAAAGTTGACTCTTTGCGTAAACACAACCTACTGTCGACTTAAAGAATATGGAAAAAGAATATCTGATCAGTCAGCAGGCAAACGACACCCAGTATCTAAAGCCCTGAGTACGCACACTAATGCTAGGGAAGTCAGAAAAGGAAAGGATAAGCATCGATCGCGCACACAGTTGGATGTAGGCAGTAAATGTGTTTATTTAATCAGATTTCCTCGTTGTCGCTTTTTAATTTCCTCAGAAATTATCTACGAAGTTGCTGTAGATCAGTTTATTCAAGGTCTATAGGCTCAGACCGAGAATTTTATACATGAATATTTGGGTCAAAGACCATCAGCCCCAGCGGGTAACCGCGTAATATTCATTAACCGCCGACAGGCAGCTAGTAGTATACTTTAGGGTAAGATGATATAGTACTAACAGCACAGGTACTAGCCAAAAGCCCAAACACGCGTGTTTCGCCGATGTCTTTGCCGCTGCATGGCGCAGCTGCGAGGGGTTCGGCTCGTCAGTGGGTCCCCCAGGATTCCTCGTGTTTTCTGGTAGATGCTCCAATTTAGAAACTGTCGCTTTTTTATTTCCTCAGAAATTATCTACGAAGTTGGAGTAGATCAGTTTCAGACGTTTGTACAAGAATACTCTAGAGCCATCAATACCACCAAAGAGCGTACTTACCAACTGGCTGAAGTTCTGTACTCTTCTTACTGATATCACCGTTGTTGCACCACGTCACACGATTCTGACTAGAAGAAATCGAATCCGAAAGCGAGGATGAGGACGTTCGAGAGGGCTCGAACGGCATCCGGTAACGACTGCCAACGACCTGTTCCTCTGAGTGATGCAGTCCAGTGGCAGCCAAGCCAACAGCCAGCATGTTGGCATTGGGCGAAAAGTCCAGGCACACAGGGTTTGAGTTGACAAACTTGCGTGCGTAAATACACTGGCCACGGCGTCGGCGAGGCGTCAGGCGGAAGATAGCGAGCAGGCTGTCCGCTGTTGGGGTTCTCCGTCCCCCAATGGGATCCAAGGTGGCGGAACTACCGCGTGAAACCACAAAGGCACCCAGGAGATTACCGTCCGGTGACAGACAAATGGAGGAGTCATTGAAGATGCGCACATCGGATACAACAAGACTATTTTTGCTGTAGGAGACAGCCACATTCAGGGGCATCGGGAGGTAGGGTCTTGCGATACGTGCGGAGGAGAGGTGCTGTGGTGAAGAGGGACCTGTTGTCACGTTTCCAACTGGGCCGCAGAGCTGCAACTCCCATCGGCAGATGCGGTAGGTCGTATCCTACACAATGAATTCAATAAGATCTCAGGAGACGCCAAGCAATGCAGTCATGTAGCATGCAGGATGCAACCAATAGACTAACTGACTAATGAGAACACTAAGAGGGAGATGCTGCCCCTGATTCCTGCGATGCACGACAAAATGAGGGGAGTGGCGGAGTGTCCGAACGCTGAGGCGGCGAAAGATGGGCACGTATGTCAATTTACAGGCTGGCTTTCTGTTTTCGCCTTTATTCACTGACATTTACTTGGAACAGCAGAGGTGTACTGGCTAATTCGCCTTCAACTAGCTATGTGCATATCTGCCCCGCTCTTTGGCGATGCGCGCTTTCAGTCTTCGCCGGCCGCCGAAGGCGGAGGTGCGTACTGCGCGTGCGCGCGTTTTCGGTCTCCCGTGCCGGTGCAGTGTCGCTTGGCGTTGTCTGCCTTCAGAGGTAAGGCCTGCCGAGCCCATCGGGCTAAGGGAGTTTCCGTAACATGCATTTGTACTACAATGCTAACCAACCACTATCAACACGGGCACTTTTAGGTCTGGCCTTAAAATTCAGCCGTTCAGACTCTATCTTCAATACTGTGATGGGGGATTTCTTTCGTCTTGCAAAACTAAACAGTAATGTTAGGTATTCCGTTTTGCTGTCTCATGGTACGGCCAACGTTGATGACAGAAACCACGAGGAACGACCATTTAAACTGGTTGTAGCGAGCATCTCATTTCTAGGTATCGTAGTAGAGGTAACGCTTACTGTTGGCTCAGCAAAGCACGGTGACGACACATACAACTAGAACTATTGATCTGCAATAAGCAAAGGGCTACTTACCAACAGGATACCTCATGATGCGGGCGGTATACTGAGTCAATGAGTCCTTCATGGTAGACAGTCGAAAATGCTCGCTGGAACGCCAGACAACGAACGAACACCACCACCACCACCACAACCACTGCCGTCGCCGCCATCACCACTACCACTGCTGCTGACAGCTCGACCTATGATTTCGACTACGTCTGCGGTGTGCTCCAGCAAGATGAGGGCAGGGACGGTGACTTGCGCTTGAATTAGTTTGTAGTGATGGCAGACTTGCGAAGCATCTACCACACTTTCCCCTTCTCCTCCTCCCCACCAATGTTTGGTGTCAAAACATTGTCAAGATGGCCGGAGGTGGGAGGGCACGGGTGGCTGGCGAGGCCGATGAATACGAAATTGACCGACCAGGCCTATGCGTGATGTACATGTACAGTGGCAGTGAGGGCACGATGTGTTCGGGGTTGTAGAATCGGTCGGGGTGGTGCGGCTGTTAGCCGTGGTCATTCTGGTGGATAAGGAGTTACCAGTGCCGGATATGAGCGCGTGGTCGGGTACGCAGAATGTGTCTGGGGTGTCGATGGTGCGGTGTTGCTACTATTACTGCCGCTACTACTACTACTACTACTACTACTACTACTACTACTACTACTACTGATTCAAAATTCAATACAGAACAGTCCAAGTGGGGTTCTCGGAGCTCTTTTCTGGTACAATTAATGTAATGGCCACAGTTAGGAGCCATTACACACAATAAATTTCGTGGAGTGAAAGCTAGTGTGCTTTGCATCCACTCGCGGTCGTCTAAGTTTACGAGTAAACAGCATCGTGCCTGAATAATGCTGTTTCGAATTAGGACCTGCTGCGTCTATCGTTGTTTCATGAAAATGAGATTTCATATTTTTGTTAAATAAGTTGCAGAATAGTATAGAGGGATCACCTGGAGACTGCAGGCGGAGGCGTGATCACCCATATCAGCCAGCAAACTCGCCATGACGTTAGTAATGCCCTGCTGCATCGAGGTGAGGACAGAGCTCGAGTTGGCTTGACTGAGCATGGAGAAAACGCCTCCGTGTGACAGTGAGACGCCTTCTGTCGACGACGTTTGCAGAGAAACTGGTGACTCCTGTCCTCCGCCGTCGTGCCGCGAGCTGTGTGAGTTCGGAGAGGGTGGTGCTGGTTGATGATGAGGTCGGCCAGCACTCGATTCCAGGGTGAACGGGGAATAACCCGCTGGGAAAAGAAGGCTAGCGCAGATGGCCTCATTTATGTTGGACTGCGGACCCACAGGAATCGTGTATGGAACAATGCGTCCGCATTTGCAGCAGGCTGCCATTCCTGAGAGAGTCGAGAGCAATCACCAAAGGAGGCAATTAACTTATCATCACTAACGGCGGCGGACAAGTGTTAGGCGAAAGAAGGCGCGTCTACATTGTGGTTTGAAACAAGACTATAGTCCGTAGCGCATCAGCAGAGGATAGATGACATACAGCGAAACTGACTGATATAAAAGCAACAGCAAGGTTGGGCCAAGGTTTACATGCAACAAATTCGAAGATGGAATCAAAGATCTGGGAGCTGACCCGATAAGCCGTGACTCGTCGTTTATAATTAATGAACTGGTTATTATTACTCAGAATGGCAAGAATGATGAAAAAGTTTACGCTTTGACCTGTTTCTCTTTCGTGACAAAATGTTTTAACCCTAGTGGGAGAAGATCACGATTTTTACTTGTCCAATAAGTCGTAATAATGTATTCTTTGTGACCAAAAAACAGATTCGCACGCACAGTATTGGCTGGACAAATGAGACCGATCGAGGGAATGCGCCTGACAAGAGTTTCGAGTTAAACAGAATGTGGAGGACGAGTGAGGGTGACTAACCTGGATCATCAAGCATGGTTTCCCCGAGGTTGCTGGAATGGCGAGATGTGTCGGTGTGGATTGGTGAGGTCTGAATGTTCGATTTAGGTGAGGATTTACAAGCACCCAGCTTCACCTCGTGGTTTGGATGTAAAAGACGGCTACCCAGAGGAACAAAATTAAAAATGGACGGCCCGCTGCGGTGCAGATTCCCCTCGTCGTTCTTGGACGCAGAGACAATCCGCACTGGAGGAGGTCTGTTCCATGCAGCTCTCGACACATCCAGCGAGGTGGCCAGATGGACGGCTTCCGCGGCCAGATTCGTGCCAGATCTGCATGGGCTGGATGGAGGGGTGGAAACTGTGGCCGGAGGGGCAGCCGGAGGGGCAGCCGGTCGGTGATTCCTGTCGGATTCTGCAGAGGTGTCACAGCTACCGGCATCAACGTCATCTATCGCATATTTAGAGCGCTGAAAAAACGGAATAATAATAATAATGATAACTGCTTTATCGAGCAGCTGTGTGGGTACCGTTACTAACAAAATGAATAAGTATGATAGACCGAGGATTCGACATAGGATCCCTTGCAGCTCGAATTAGCATTATTCAGTCCGGATTTACAGAGCGATCAAGTGATAACGAAATTATTGTTAACTTAAAACTTGTACGCAACCAAGGTGGATTAAGCGAAACCGACTTTAGGGCTAAAACGATGGAGATCGGCCAGCAAGTTAGTCAGACAAAGTGTAAATCATTTATTCTAAAAACTCCTCATGTGCACTTTCCGCCGAGTTTGTATGGTTCATTCCTTTTCCTATCTTACCGAACAGCGCAGAGGGTTAGACACCAGCTTGTGCAAACAATCTACGTCCAGATCAGTGTGGAAATGATGCCGCCAAGATGGTCGATAGAGACGCAGGTAGGTCGTAGCTCAATAGCAGGGTCAGATATTTGGTGACCAGACGACAAATTATGCTTTGGTGTCACGTGAAACAAATTGAAAGGAAGTCAACGGGAATTCGAGTCCACATGACTTAGCATTGGACTTAACTGTTAATGATGGCGATAACTACTGTTAGCGTACTGATTCATGCAGAAAATAAAAATCACTCATACAAAAACGGTAAAAGTCCTGGGTCGTTCTCTCACTATTTACATTTTGAGCACTCGTAAATGACGACAGAGTTCCGAAACTATGGAAGGTAACTTCAAATGAGTCAAAGTGGGTCGAAAATAGATCCCTCACGTACTACAGTGAGTTCTGGTTAGTCGGCCATATTGCGTCAAGACGATTTGGCCCGGTCAAGCGGCTGGCTCAATTGTTAGAATTGTACAAGTTGTAAAATGTGCTAGAGCCAATCTGAGCGGCTGCCCTTTGCCTCTCTCTTCATCAAGCGTTCACTTCTACTTCTTCGGTATTCGGCATGGTGTGACCTGCAACTATAGGCCCTCACGAATGACCCAACAGATTGCCCTTGCCTGTCTATAATGCAGGTTACGCTCTCAGCCTCATCTTCCTTGAATGTAACTTGGGGCAGTCGCGGGGCTTATGAAACGATTCGATGAACAGCAATCTACGGTATGAGCTGCAGTCTATAACAGTCCTACACATTGCTAATAGGAGGCTCGGAGGTGTCACTTATGCGAAGACAATAGTGGACGGAGAACTGCAGTTAGCTTAGCGGGACAGAGGGGCACGTCACTGCTCGCGATGGGCGAGGTCCCCCCGGTAGGAACTGTAACCCGTTGTCGGGGTTGCAGCGCGTGAAAGTCCATACGCACGCACATAATAAAACGCAGTCAGCCGACCAATGGCGGGAAAGATTACGCAAGGGCCAGAGTCACGTGACCGCGAGCACGCTCGAAGCGCCGGTGCCGATGACCAGAGGTCAGAGCGTGCGTGCGCACAATATAGAGCAGCGCAAGGCGAACCAGCGCGTTCTTTTGCGGATGACCTCAGCGCCGACCATCACGACGGCGGCGCTAACTGACGCGCGGCGGTGGCAGAACATAGAGTAGCGAGGCGCTCGCGCGCGCAGAGGGGCGCCATCGAACTCGGAGTGTCGCGCGCGCGTGTCCGCCCGGCTGGCAGACATATGAAGCGATTACCCGCATCCCGTCCGGCGATGAGCGCCAGCGCGGAAAGGGTCTAAGTAGAGGTCAACCAAAACCACAACAGCATGCACAATACACTGCAATGGCCGCCGGCCATTAAATAAGAAACAGTGGGCCTAGCGACCAATGATTTTTGAACAAGCAGTTGTTAGATGTGCGCGACATGAAAATGTGAAAACAGAGATCCGAATAATAAACGGCGGGGCAATGCTCGAGATGGACCGTCGCTGTCATAAGAACCAGGGCGCGTATTGCAGACTAGCTGGCAATGGGTTTGACACGCATCGCACTGTACTAACGGGAGATCAAAGAGACCTTAGGGGGCTGGGATTCTGAGAAACGCATAACACGGATGATATTACTCCACGTGTGCTGGAAACTGAGGACCAGTTGGCTGCAAATGCATAAAGGCATAGCGTCAAATGGAGTTGCCCGACAGATTCCATTCCTGGAGGAAAAGTCAATATCGAGATGAGCGAAATGGTCGACCATAAAGACTTCGGCGCTGGAGGCGCACGAAGTGAAAGCGCCAAAAAGGATGACAAAAGCGGATAGTCACTGGATCAAACAAGATGTCAGAATAACACTGAAAGGCATGGTACATTATGGCTACACCCGTCTTGAGAAGGAATTTCAGCTATACTAAACACACTTGGTGTAAACATGGGGATATCTGCTGGTTGAGTCGAAATCGTCATCAGACCATGGGCTTTATTTTGCTGGTCAGGAGTTGCTCTAGTGCACTTAAAGCACGTGTACGCTCCAGCACCACCTGATATAACAGAACATGTGGTTCGTGCAACAGATCAGAAGAAACTGAAGACGATGGGGGCAAAACTTGAATTTTGTCCGAAGTTTCAAGCGTCCGCGGTATTCACTTTCTTAGTAAATGAACAAGAAGTGCCACCGACAAAAGCAAAGAAGACTGGGATAGCCATTTTACTTAAATGTCAGCACCAGCCGCCCATACTACAGTCGTAGTTCGCAGACTGGGGGTTCGATCCATCATTTCCTTGATTATTCCTCCGGAGGCTCTATCATGGAGTCACGGGTTAGTTATAGGGGGAACCATCATCTACCGATCCCTTCGGGTCGCAACAAATAAGCCAGAAATAGCCATTTAGACCTCCCTCGTTCATATCGGTAATAATGCTCCATCACAGGAAGTTATTTACGAAAGTTCTGTCGGGTAAACCAGACTCATCACAGGATGCTTGAAAACATGGAAGCCTCGGTTAAATCCTCAAAGGAGTCCTCTAAGTTGAAAAAAATAGCACTCTCATTCCACCCAGAGAAGTAGATCAGAAGCACAGGCACTATTGTTTGAGCAAAAAATAAAACCAGGCAGGACAATGCAAATAACTCACCTTCGGCAGTGTGCCTTCCGTCTCAAGTTCACGTTTCCCAGCCAGGACGACCTGACTCTGAAGTAACTGTATAACATCTGGTGGAAGATTGAGCTGCCTAGCCACGGAGGCGAAAGGACGACATGACGAGCTTCGCAACATACAGGAGAGTTTCCGAGATAGTGCTGCGTCATTGATAATGCTTGGGGCAAGGTAAGTAACCCGCGTGACTTCGTGGACGTTGCCAATTCTTTTGCGAATGAGGCTGAGGGCCGCTCGAACGACGGATAATTGAGCGGAACAGACACGTGACGATGTTCGACTCAGGTTATCGGATGACGCTTGATGGACGACACGGGAGGAGTCATTAACATCAATGCTACAGTTGATGCACATGCCGACCGTAACACTCGGGACAGGAGGGCCGGGCTTTTCCTGGCTGGCCTGCTGGAGGTAGAAAATGGTACTTTATGGAAACGGTTTGAGGTGCGTGCGAATGTTGGAGCAAACGTTTTTCTTGAACATGACTAGATACCCGGACAAATGTCCAATAAGAGAAGCCTGAAGACTGTCTTACTGTTTAAAAAGGTAACTAACCGTTTGGGAGGAAGACATAGAAAGCGGAGAAGCACAACGCCTTGTTGAAAAAGACATGGGTGTGTCTACGGAGGAATGCCTTGGAGAATACACGTTTGGAGTGCCCTCAGCATCCCACGTCCACCAGTCAACTGCTTCATTGGCCCAGCGCCAAAAGGACTGTAGACATGGTCTACACAGCGAATTACGCATGAGCTCCCTGTGGATGAGAACAAGATCACAAGCATGACCACCACAACAGATTCCACTCCTTGCGAAGACGCCAGGGGATCCGGATTTGCAGTAGGTGCCACGTGAAAGAAGAAATTCCTTGGCTGGCAAATCTTCGATGACTGCGACAGCACTGGGATTTGGGTCGCTGCGAAGATAAGGGACGCAGAGTTTTGATTCACCATTCCTTGCGCTTTGGACCAGCTTTTGCACAGTGAAGGGAAGGTCGACGGTCTCTATGCGAATGACCTGTGCGGCAAGTATTGCTGCACGCTGCGCGGCCAGTAGACCTTGTTGTGAGTTAAGGTGTGTGATGGGAAAGAACGGGCCAAGTGTTCCTGCCCACTTACAGAGACGCAAGGAACATGCACTGCAGATGCTGCGCTGTTGAAACCACGAATTCGGCTGTCGCACCAGGAAGTTTAGTAACTGGTGGCGGGAAACTAAAGGTGGAATTTCTTGCTTGGAATGAGTGGGGGGCAAACATCCAGTTCCATGGGACGAAACTGATGAGGCTGTGGCTAGAAAGGAATGACATGCAAGTTAATTAGGCAAAGACAGGACAAATTTGAAGAAACCAGGCCAGTCAGATAATTCTAACAGTTGATGATGGCTGCAAAACAAAGACTGAAAAACATACGTGTCAGGGTTACTTTGGAAGTTGCCGAAGATGAGACAACAGAATTGTGGTGTCGATGATGGGATGCAAGGCTGTCCGGGGGATTGGCTGTAGCAGTATAGAGAAGGGTACCATCGGGGCTTAGACTGACCCAGCGCACACGCGAATGGTCCGATACAAACTTCCAAACTGAAAGTGTTCGTCCAGATACCCAGTCATAAAAAACCACTTCCTGTGTCCTAAAATGTTAACAACCATATCTTCATTCGATACATGTGTTGCAACAGGAATTAGCAAAATAAAGCTTTCGCAATACGTGTTCCTTGAGTGTCATTTAAGAAAATAGCAAACAAGTTATGATCCAAATAGGGTACTATGAGGTATGTGCAACTGAGAATTTCAGATAGATGGACATCAAGTCAATGAAAATGTTGATTATCTAGAAGAAGACAGTACCAAGCGACAACGAGTATTGGGTGCTGAGGGTGGAATGCCAGAGATGCAATGGCGCCTGCTTGCTTCCAAATGCGGGTGGCAGTCAGCCGGGGCGGTTCGGAGGTGTTTTCTTGGCATTCCTCGCGCGAATGAATTAAGCACTCAAGACTCCATAGCCTGATACTACCGCCAAGGCAACCACTGGCCAACAAGGTCGAGTTGGAGGGATGAAACTGCAGAGAAATAAGCCGAATATAGGAGAAATCCACAAGTCCCAAAAAGGGTAAATGACCGCAGAAATTCAAAGCAGTACAGAAAGCAGGGGTGTGGGCAGAACTGTAAAACTTACAAGCAAGGAGTTAGGTAGTACTGTTGCCGAATAAAAATCGATAAAGACAAAGGAGATCGGGATGACCATTTTTTGGCTTGCTAGTCGTTGCCAATCGGCCATGCACCGGCTACAGATTTGAGCAACGCTACAGACGGTTAAAAAGAGCGACGGGACGACCATGTTTTTTTCGGCGCACGGATCCGTATGGGTATTGGTGAGCATCATTCCCTGCCTCCGATTTTATAAATGCGACCTTTTGCCACTTTTGCCAAACCTGGTGGTGAACCGGTCATAAAAAATTAACGTCTTGGGCACCCCAGGAATTCGTGTTTCGTGCTGAACTACCACTGCAAGGAATTATTTTGCAGAAGTACCAAGCTTATTTGGAAGGGGGCTTCGATTTGCATTTAGCAAAGAAAATGTGTAGTTTTGTGATGATTCCGGAGTAAATCGTAAGTAATCCTATACATTTCGCTCTTGGGACCAAAATGATGCCACGCCGACATAATACAACCGTTGCTATTAGCGGTGCAGAGGAAAGGAAGGGTTTCTGCTCGCACAGCAGATCATTCAGTTTCCCACTTTAATATTGAATTTTGAGGAATCACATAGTTATTTAGTCTTATCGACAAGCATAACAAAAATTGAGTTCGATGAGGGGACAAATGTAAGGTATTTCAGAAAGGAAAGTGCATAGAAAGTAAGACGTTCTTCCGATATAAGGCCTAGACGAAAAAACCAGTGCTGGTTCATATGATGGTAACTGCTATGCAAGGCTCGGCCCTACCAAGAATAACGGGCAAAGCAAACTAGAGTTCCACAGCAAAAAACGCATAGTTGGTGCAAAGTCAACGGATGCTCACTGCAAGAGTCCACGGCGACCGTTCATGCCCCTCACATAAGCCGAGAAGTGAGCCCGAACTTGCCGAATAAATTGCAACGGTGCGATTTGCGTGCGCAGCAGCGATTAGCTTGCTGTCATTGTTTAACCGCAATAAATATGTCGAGCGACTATTTAACGGCGTTTTCGCTAAAATCGCGCCGGAAGTCCGCAGGGCTGTGATATTATCGGAAACTGCTGTTCTTCGAGTGTTTCCGTGCCTTCCAATTTCACGCTCATTGATGTAGCGTATAAATTCCGTCATCAGAAAATAGGTATTTCGGGAAAACGCCTAATGCTGGGAGAGCGATTCATTGTGGGGCCAGCGAAAAACACATTGTGGGGGCCATACATTAACAAAACGGATGCGTTAAAACAAAAGTTAAGGTCAAATGTTAGAAATTGAAAGTGTGGCTGGAAAACAGGCCTAAAACTTCTTCAACAGATCAGTCGTCTTTCTGAAACGTTTTTCTTTAGACTTGGATTTATGCAAAAACAAAGACCTGATTACTAGAGGTGGAGTTTCGCTTTTAATAATTTGCGTCTTTAATGGCAACAATTTTAGTTCATTTCGTTAAGGGAAGAATATATCTGAGTTTCTGAGATCGCTATTTGCAAAAAGGAAGTGCAGAAAAGCGAAGTTCTTGGCCTCTTATTTTGAACGGAAGTTCTTAGACCTCTTAATAGCGACTTTACGATGGTGTTTAATGTGTAACTTGTATCTAAGAGGACTTAAAAACAAGAATGGCATAAAGTTCTTAAGCCCTGCAACTACAGCTTTGTATGCATAATTAACCTTTTTGTCACAATTTCTGGGCGTCTAATAGGTCGCATGTTGCTGAGGATCTAGAAGGCTTCGCGTCCACTCATTTTCCCGAGCACATTTGCTTCAACTATGGATATTGCGTAGACAGAACGTTACTAATATGATGACTGTGCGTTTATGAATGCTTTCGATGTGGCAAATCAGTAAACGAGTCCTGAAGTACAGTGAAAGGAGGGCTTTGTTTGGAAACGCAGTAGAGGTATAGGCATCAATTTATAGGTCCTGTGAGCACGGTTATTTGCTATTCTTCCCACACTTCCTCCTGTGTATCCATGACATAAACAAGCGGCACGGGTATGAGACCGTCAATTTTACGTGCAACACGAACCCTGTGTGCGTTATATGGTTTAACGGAGGACGGCTTTGTGCTGAAGTACTGGACTACTTGACCTTTGACAATCTTGTCACGTTTGTTTTACTGTAGCATTTGTTTTAACGTGACGAGCACTCCTCCGCTTGTAAGCTTCGCGCCGCTTGCGTGCTCTCTCGTCAGGTCGTTGCACATTTTGAATATTAATTTTGTTTACTTACTGGCCTTCCTTACCTCTCTCCGCTTATGAGGTTAGTAAGCCGTAGTTCGTTAGTTCGCGGGAACGACATAACTTACGTCAGCTTTGTTCGAATTCAGCTGGAGGAGGGCTACAAGCAAGTCAGACCAGCCGAACGAAGTACGCATATAAATGCTGGCCTGTGAGAGACGCGGGTAAGATCACGACACCTCGGCGGCCAGAGCTGAATCCCAGCGAGTGAAAGTTGTAAATGAAACGGGCGGCATATCATTTGTGCGCCCCAAAACCAACCGCTTGTCAGACGGGTGGATTGGGGGAGGGGGATATCGTGGTCAATGTAGGTCTCAATGTCTGGCGTCGAAAAGGCGATTTCCGATGAGATTCGGTGATGGACGAAGCCGAAAGACGAGTGCTAAATGAAGGCCATCAGGGTATATATAGAAAAGACCTCTTGCACGCAAGAACATAAAGGAATCTAATTTATAGAAAATTTGGCAGAATATTAATAATTCATATCAATGTATGTATGGAGAACTCGGCACCGAGTTGGGGAATCTTAACTCAGGTTTCTAGAGCGTTGACTGCACTTTAGCCTTTCTCTTGCTGTCGTGGCTTAGACTTCCATCGAGGCATCGAGTTTTTCACATGTGAGTCAATATGGAATGTAATGTCTCGGCAATGCTAGAGATACTAGCCAGTGATACTTATCTAAGGTCCCAATGATCTCTTCACGAATGCACAGTTAAAATGACAAGATACAATTAGGCAAGTAAGGGGTTAATCCATTATGAGCAGAAATATATGTACCTCCTTGAACTATATTCATTTACGGTGTCTGGTTACTTAGGTAGTTAGATGTTTTGGTGTCCACTACCGTCAATAACGCCCCTCTCCTCTCTTGCCTAGGTGTTGGTAGTCCCCAGACCAAACTCTACGTCTCCGCATATTCCAGTGATTGACGGTCGGTCAAACAAGTGGGGCCTGTTACTTCAAACTTCGTCTCGAAAATCGGTTGGAATGGAGTTCACAGCCAGCAGTCGGTTTTCCATTGGTTAACGACACAGGTAATCAGTTTTAGTTGTCGTTTGTATTTTCCGCAGATTTATTCATCATCCTTAGGCGAACTGCCCGCCAGAGAACGTCCGTTGTTCATTCTTTATGTCGCCGGCCACAGAGTGACACCTCCACCTTAATAAGTTTTGCCTCCAATTTGGTTAGTGGTTTCCAGAAGCAGACGGGAAGTCCCGTTGCCAACAATGCTCGGGAAAGCCCACGTTGCTCTTGGCGAACATCATCGTCTACCAAATTATCTGCTTGACAATTCTTCCTCCATAATCCAGCGAATGACACACAACCCACCATCGTTATCACTGGCATTGCTTAATTCCTTTTGAATAACGGCCGCAGCGGACATCGCAGTCGCCGGCCAGTTTTCTACTGAGTGACAACAAAGTCCGCCAGCATGTGTCTGTGAACATCTTGGGCCTTTGTGGGATTTCTGTTAGACACCGACCTGGTCACGGGAGAACGTCCGCTGTACTCTGCTCACGCTGTCGCCAATGTCCGCAGGCAATCCGCCTTATTTTCTTTCTGCTTTGCTCCGGTCGGCAAATTCCTGCCCTAAGTGATGAACCCTGCTGTCTCTGTCTACACATTCTCTTCTCTTTTCCGCCGATTTCATTATCATCAGTCGGCTTTTACTTAGTTACCTACGTAGTCTCCTGAAAGCGTCTGTTTCCATTTCCTGTTATCGGCGCTTATTGCGACAGCCCACCGGTTTTCTATTGTCAACCTTGATAACGTAAGTCGCTGTATTATTTTGGGTTAGTCGTAAATAATACATTACTTCAGCCGTTGTATTGCTTGTCTATTATGCCGAGGCCACCAGGCTGTTTTCGGCCTATCACAGAGAATTTCGAAGATACATTAAACAATAAGTGCGTCGCGCTGCGACTCAAAACGACTGGAAGAGCCGACGGAGAGTATCACCATTACCAACTTGGTGGAAGGTGCCTTTCAAATGTAACAGAACAAAAAGATCTTGGGGTTAACATTCTGTCGGCCCTTAAGCCTTCATCTCAGTGTCTTAGGGCGTCCAAAAGAGCAACTAGTGTTCTCTTTGCCATTAAACGATCTTTCGTGGACATAGACAAAGAGTTATTTGGAAAAGTATACGGAGCGTTCATTCACTCTCATCTGGAATATGGAATCCAAGCGTGGCGCCCATGGCTAAAAAAAGACAATAAGTTGCTAGAAGAGTTCAGAGGAGAGCAACAAAAATTGAAGAAGGCCTCAGGACTTTACCTTACAACTGCCGACTTAGGGAACTTAAACTTTTTCCTCTTGAGTACAGGCAGGTTCGAGGAGATCTCATACAGGCCTATCGGATATTGAGGAACCGGGACTGTGCCCTACACCTGGACGATTTCTTCACCCTGGCCACTACAACAAACCTGCGTGGGAACTCCCTAAAACTTAGAGGATCCCGATGCCGCCTGGACGTTCGAAGATTCTGTTTTTCACAGCGAGTCGTCGGTGCCTGGAACGGGCTTCCCGAGGACGTAATAATGGCGGATACCACGGAGACGTTCAAGCAAAAGTAGATGCATATTTGCTTGGACACTATCGCTTGTCTGAACAGAACAGCTCTGTGGTGCTAAACCAACGCCTTGCATACTCATACCGCTAATGCGGATGACTGTCATTACATTTTACTGAAATCATCTACAACTGAATGTTCTCAAGTTTTGGTTGTAAATTTTCACGGAAAATATTCTGTTAAATGTGTATATTACTGACAACATTTCAGTACCATGTTTATTTATAGTGAGATATTGCATGTACCGTTTACAATAGGGTTTTCAAAGGCATTGCCTATTACTCTTAAAATATACTGACCTACTGACCTAACTTTATTAAAGTCTCATCGGAGCCCCTTTATACGTATACCGTATGCCGCATGCGGAAGAGAACAACGTCATGCCGAAGTCTGCGTATCCGACGGTTTGCGTAGGCACTCCAAACGACTATCCAGTATCACTATTAACTTAATATGGTAGGGGACGCTCACCGATCGTTCATACGAAACTCATTCGTTCCGTTGTGCCTTAAGGGCTCTCTCTCGAGCTCAACCAGCAGCCGCACAGCGGCGCATGATATAAAGGCAGAATAGCATTACCGACAGTCTCCCTTGTCTTGTCGGGAACGCCATTCTGCCTATTAACTTACGGACACCCAAAACGCCCTGAGATCGTGCACCGACCTGCCTATTTAGTGTACACACGTCCAGCGGTAGTTTAGTCCGCCTAGCGTCGTGTTCATTTGGTCAGCCTAGCCCAGTTATATAAGAAACAACCTTGGAATGCTGCAGCCATGGTGTGAAAATACTCGTATCTGCTAAACAGCAGTCTTGTTAGCGACTATAGCTTTTCTTATATCTAATAAGACGAATGTCATCCTGCGAGAAGACCGGAGTGTACCTTCTGTGTGCGGTTGGTGTATGCTTCATTCCTCATCGTCGTCGGTTTTACTTGGCTTTAACCTCGTCTTGGAGGACCTTTTTCGATTATTGCCGTAGAAAGAAATTATGCGGTGTGCACTGGCGTCTTGTTATCTGCCGAGGAAGCATTATCCGTCGGAGATCCGTATAAAAGTGGAGATACGGTTTCATTTTCTATGGTCAAAGAACTGGCAATGAGAGTCAAAACAGCCATCGAAAACGTAATTTTAGGGAAAATTAAGGCTTTCCAGTGTTGCTTAGTTGCTTATAGGATACAGAGAATTAACCAAGCATATTCAGCCTCTCTTGGTACGAGAAATGCTTCGGTCTATCGAATATATTTGTTGCTTGGCGTTACACTTGTTCGAGTAGGTAAATATCCTTCATCAATGATGAAGCTCCTGGCATTCCATATTCCAGGTGGGGTATAACAAAGAAGCCGAAAATCTTTCGAAGATTTCGGGACTGGCTGTTCAAGCAGAATTTCCTAAGTAATCCACCTAGAATCTGCCAGATGGCTAACAGGCTCACGTAATAAGTTGATGTTTTGGCAGATTTTGAATAATTAATAGTGACCCAACTGTAAAAAACTCAGCGCCTGGGTAGGATTCGATAGCATGACAGCAAAGGAAAGGCTTTAGTACAACCAGCGATCTGGCTACCTGAGCTATAAGGCCACAAATCGGCGCCGAGTTTTTCCAAGTTGGATCAATATGAATTATTTAAAATCTGTAAAAACATCTGAATAACGGGGACATAATTGTTGCAAACAAGATGTTGTCATCGCCGAACAAGTTTAGAGGCTATGGGGATGTAAGCGAGCATGTAATTCAATACGGCGACAAAAGCATATGGTCCAAATATTCGTTAGAAAAACTCCGTCCCCTGAAATACTTCCTCGTTTCCTGTTGAGGAGGCAACTTGATTAAACGGGAGTCTGGCGATGCAAGTCGGAATCGTCGCATACGTAAATATGTATTATGAAATCGTGACTCAGAAGAATAAGGGTTTTTACGATAAACGGAATCAACTGTAAATGTCACAGGAGATGCTAAAGTTCGCATCAAACCAGTCGGTAGAGTGGTCGGTGAGCAAAGCATTTACGTTTTTAACCTAATTAAATCCTCTACATCTAAATGTCGCTTTATGTGTCTTGGACCTGAAAGACTACCCAAACCAGTGGTCTTTCCAGGCACACTTATGACCGAATGCGCTACTAGCAAGGATTCAGGTTTAAGCTACACCAGTAATCGAGTTTTCTAGATCTAGATCTCCGACAGAATTATGACCAAAGAAGCCCAGATTTTTGAATTCATTTCTCGCAAGGCTTATCTTCCTGAAATTAAATTAAGACTTTATCGAATGTTTGTACTTTCCATTCTTGAGTATTGTTGCCCATTCTTTGGTTTGATGAACGAGGATAGTCGGTTTGAATTTTTCGACCTCCGAGGGATTTAACTTTTCCGAGTCTTCTGGGTGTTGAACACCCTGACGGACTGTCGGATTTAACAAGTCGATTCTTCATAACAATATCTCGATTCTCACAGAATCGCAACGAGAGTTTCGTCCGGAATACCTATCTCCTTCCGACCACATCTCTGACGACAGCACAGCGATATTCTCCAAATACAAGAACGTCTGAGTCGTTTGCTATTTACTTCATACCGT